TCCTCAGGGAGACACTGTTGAATACCACATGAATTGGGCTTCTTTTACATGCATTCGTAAAAGCCCCATTTGTAAAGAAATGTTGATGCTTATCTTGCTTATTTTGGAAGCTGAACGTATGACTTCATATGTGTTTAATGTTATTTCAATTCCCTACTGTATATACGTATAATAGATATGTAGCAATAAAAAGTGGAAAAATATAAAATTTTAAAATATATCAAAAGTTGCCTATATTGGGATAGGATGAAATTAATCTTATACGTATATGTAATAACTATGTGCATGTTGACTAATGCATAAGAGCCATGAGATCTAAGTAATTGGTAAAAGAAATATTAAAAGTATCTTTGTAACTTTTGAATCTGCTGGTGATTTGATTCATAGTGTACACATAGTAACACTTTACATAAAGTAGATATAGCATGTTTGTGCTTATCCTGTTCTCAGTAGACAAGTGTAGTTGTTATATGGGGGCAGGGGGAAGAGAGAGAGAAAGGAGAGTGGGAGGGAGATGGGGGGGAGGAATAGGGGGGCTGGATCTAGTAAAAGTGCAAGTATTAGTATGCAGAAGGTGTAAACCAGATAGAGAAGTGGAACTAGAAAAAACGATATATAATGGAATAAAGAATTCCAAACATTTAATACTATATATATATATATATATATATTTATACACACATACACAATATGAGTTAAGGCTTGAGATAAGGCTAGAGTGCAAATGAAGATCAACTAAAATTGAAAATAAAAATAAAAGATGAAAAAATTAAAAATACACAGAATAATTTAAAAATTTTCATTGATATACAAAAATTAATCCGCAAACTTACATTACACAAATATTTTAACAAGCTGAATTAACCCACACGAAGTGAAGAATATAAAAATTGGTTGAGTTTTAAGGATCTCTATATGAAAGATTTAGAAGCAATCTGAATATTAGAATCGATCCAAGTGGAACACAACTCACCGACAAAACAAACAAATATTATCCACTCATTATTCAAATCCACTTCCTCCTTTTATCCGAGTCAGGAACAAGGAGAATACATCAGGTATACAGCGAATTGGTATTTAGAGATATTAAACAACTATATACCCAACAACAACAAAAAATAGTGAAATCCAACCTCACACATAAGGAGAATAAAGCCCTGAATGCTCTAAGAAACAACATAACGATCCAAATTTAGAGAAGCGGACAAAGGAGGAGCTATAGTCGTACAGAATATGGAAAACTATAAGAAAGAGGCAGACTACTGGAAGACACCCCCACCTATAGAAAATTGGAAAAAGATCCAACCTAGGAATATAAGAACGATCTGCTGTCATTACTAATGGAAGAAAAAATAAGAGGAGTCCTGAGTCAAGAGGAATTCTATTTTCTATACCAAGAACTTCCAGTAATAGCAATCTTCTACCATCTGCCCAAAATTCAAAAAGATCAAAAGAACCCTCTTTTTACATCTATTCAATGAATTCAAGGAGGAACAACAATGCTTCATACTGGACTGTATTGGTTTCATTTTAGAAAAAAATCCTTTTACCTCCAACCCCTGGGACTGCAATGGGGACAAAACTAGCTCCCTCAAATGAAGCTTAACGATGGGACGGTGGGAGAACCAGTTTATTTGAAAAAATAATCCATTCCTTGACAATATCTGCCTTCATAAAAGGTTCATAGATGACACCATTCTTATATGGGAGGGAGAAGAAGCAGAACTCCTAAGATTCATAAACCATGCCAATGCCAACAACATGAACCTCAGGTTCACGCATGTGGCCAGCAAAACCAACATTCTAGATTTCAATATTTTTATAGATGAAAATGGGACCCTCCAAACTAGCAACCACCAAAAAGAAGTTGATAAGAATGGTTTTCTGGATGCCAGGAGTGCCCATCAACCAGGATGGATTAAAAATATTCCAAAGAGCCAATATTTGAGGGTAAAAAGAAATTGTAGTAGACCTCAGGAATTGGAAGAGGAATTTCAGAACCTCACAAACAGATTCATACAAAAACACTACAATCCCCAACTTCTGAAAAAGGTACAACAAGAAGTCCACAACATGACTAGAGAGGAACTCATCTCAACAAAAAGGGAGAAGAGGGATGATGTGTTCCAGAAAAATAAGGATCGAACATTTCCTATCTTTGTGACAACATACAATTCATCAGCAAATGATATCAAGAAGATCACATGGAAACATTGGCCCATTATCACCAAAGATAAATGTATGGGTATTTTGGACAATACACGACCGAAAGTAGCGTTCAGAAAGAATCAAACAATCAAGAACATAATTGCCCAAGCTGGATTAAGAATATGGGTATAAAAGGTGTATTCAGATACGGAAGGAAAAACTGCATCATATGTCCACTTAATAGACAAAAAGACAATAAGTTCTCCAGCCATAATGGTGAAAATAAGGAATATGAAAACCAACAATTCATAAACTGCAATACTACCTATGTCATTTATCTACTGGAATGCACGTGTGGTAAACAGTATGAAGGCAGAACATGCTCAAAGCTAAAAACAAGAATATATGAACATGTACATTCGATTAGAGGAAGTGCATAAACCATGGAGTTCCGCTACATTTTCTGGAGAAACATAACAGTGACCCGAAATATCTAAGGGTTAAAAGAATTGAAACTATTCCACCTACAAAAAGAGGGGGAGATAGATTTGAAAATGTTTACATGGTGTGTTCAATAAAAACATGGCAACATTTCATTCTTTGTGTGTTATTAGTTTAAGCAGACTGTGATTGTCTATTGTTGTGACTTAGATGATGATCAGATCACATTTTATGACCAATTTGTGCAGAAATCCATATCATTCCAAAGGGTTCACATACTTTTTCTTGCAACTGTATCTATTTTAAGTATATACAGTAGGGAATTGAAATAATATTAAACAAATATGGAGTCAGTACTTCTTAAAAGATATGTTAGTCTTCCAAAATGAGCAAGATAAACATCAATATTTCTTTACAAATGGGGCTTTTACGAATGCATATAAAAGAAGCCCAATTCATGTGGTGTTCAACAGTGTCTCCCTGACAAAGTGAGCAAGTACACAGTGAAACCGATAGCATGTAGGAGCGAGTACACAGTGAAACATGTAGGAACGAGTACACAGTGAACATGGACAGCATCACTGCATTGGACTATCCGAGTGCCCGTATCACGATCCTCCGGTTCCCATACACGCGTGCAAACCCGGAGAGACGCTGAAGCAGACAAGCACACTGCATAGGATCCATTCCTAGCACAGTACAGTAAGCACCATCACGATATACAGGAGGGTTCCTGGGTCTGTTTTATGGTCAAGCCAACGTAACAGTATCTTAAGGGATCCCTTAGATTGAAAACACTGTACATATATCACGGGTTGGATCATATTTCAGGACCCTCACCCACTTGGATATGCTATATACATGCTCATAGTGAGCTAGACTTCAATTTATTTGTGATATTTTTTATACTTTAACCTTTGGAAGTATACATACTTGTACTCATTCTAAAGCATTTTTATGTTTTTTTTCTATCTTCAAATATAGTATTTATTTATACATAAGCTTAACAATCCTCTGCGCTCTTTTTTTTTATTGTTTATTGCCAATTAAGGAAATATCGAGGATATATCCTATTAAGAGCTGCATTGGGTTAGTAGCAGTTTTTTATATATATATTACTACCTACATTATTTGTGTATATGCAAATAGTATCAAGTGTTTTGTATAGCATTGACATTTTAAACACCTTAAGGTGATAAGCTCAAAGGCTGCCTATATGTGATACATGTTTTTTTCCCCTTTCTTTCTTATATATGTTACAGTTTAAGTGCAGAAATCAGTTAAAGTGCAGAAAATGATTTCGTTTTTCAAATATTTCTCACATTACAAAGGTAATCTGCAAGTTACCTAGATAATCTGCACATTACCTACTAGGCACTCGTTAAAGTGCAAAAAAGTCATTCTGTCCTCCATCTCTGAGGGGCTCACAGCTCTGGATGACACCATGGTGTGCACAGGCTGCTGTTCTGTTCTTGTCTGGACCACATAGTCACATACCTCTTCAAACAGTTATCCCGAACTGGTAAGAAACGAGGATCCCCCACCACCACAAGAGAGCGAGCGCTTCCTGCACATTATGCAGCAACACCCTGAAATGATCCCAGCAGATGCTCTCCACTGTTCTCAATATCATCATTGAAGACTGTCAGAATCAGTGGTTCATGAGCAGACCTCTCCTTGGTCTCATTCTCAATGAGAGAAGTATTTCTCGGACTTACGGAGCAGCATTGTTGGTAGCCAGGCCCCTCTGAGAAGCAACAAGCCATGCGTCTATCCTTTTGAGAATTTGATGGTGGAGGGCATTGAAAGGAACTTGCTCACAAAAAGAATCGAGACAGGTTCACACAGAATCTTTCTGCCTTCAGACGAGAAGTGAACGATTCTGCAGAGACTGCACTGAAAGGGTGAAACAGTTTCTGCGAGGAAGTTTTTGTAATAAATAATTTCCTCTTTACCGAGGGAAAGAAACAAAACTTTTGCACTGAAAGGGTGAAACAGGTTCTGCAAGGAAGTTTTTTGTAATAAATAATTCCTCTTTTATCAAGGGAAAGAAACTAACATTTTGCACTTTATTTATACGGAAGCAGTTAATGTGCACATTACCTAGGTAAAGTGCGGAAAACTCTTGATTCCGCACTTTAACGGAGCAAATCAGTTAATCTGCAGATTAACTAGGTAAGGTGCACATTAACTGATTTCTCACTTTAACTGTAACATATATATTCTAAGCGCCATCAATTATCCCAATCAATTTTGGATTGGTATTCCGATATTTGATAGTTTACATCCAAGGTTAACACATTGCTCACGGGGGGCGTGGCCGAGCCGAGCATGCGACAGGACGCCTAATTCCTGAGCTCTGCTCCCCCTGGCCCCTAAAAAACGCGAAAACCGGCACTTACCCGACACACATGGTCCGGAACAAGAAGCCCCACACCCTGGGGGGTACCCCGCACCGCCCGACCGGGACGCTTGATGAGTTCGTGTGCACTCCGAGCACACTAAGCTGCAGCCGACCGCCTGACAACATGGCGCCCGGCTCCCCAGGCAGTGAAAGCGCGGGAGAGCCCGCCCTGGACGGCACGCAGGACGACACACTCGCACTGATTAAACAGGAGCTGGCAATGATCTCCGCACAGATGCTCACCAAGGCAGATACAGGGGAGCTCCTGAGAGAACTTCGGGCAGCCATCAAAGAGGAAGTTGCAGCCCTGAGGAAGGATCTCTCATCAGTGGAAGTAAGAGTGGAGGCACTGGAAACGGAGGCCCAAGCGAGCCGCGCGCAGCACCAAGCGGCTGAACTCGCTACCACGCGCCAGGGGAACATGCTCCTCTCCCTTCGGCGCCAAGTTGAAGATTTGGAGAACCGCAGCAGACGTCAAAATATCCGGATTCGGGGGCTACCCGAACCAGACACAGCGCCACTACAAGACACGCTGCAGGCCCTTTTCCGGCAGATCCTTGGAGAGGAATGCCCGGGGGTGATCAAGCTGGACCGGGCACATAGGTCCCTGGGGCCGCAGAGGCCTGATGGCAGGCCACGAGACGTCCTGTGCTGCCTCCATGACTACAGCCTTAAGGAACGCCTCATGACAGATGCCCGAGGAATGGCGGATATACCCTTCCGGGGAGCAAGCGTGGCCCTATACCAGGACCTGTCCGGCCTCACCCTGGATGCAAGAGGGGCTCTCAGGCCCTTAACGACGACCCTGCGGGAGAAGGGAATAGCCTACCGGTGGGGCTTCCCCTTCAGCCTCCAGATTAGGCAGGGGAATGCCTGGATCCACGTGCGCTGGCCAGAAGATGTGCCCCGAGCCTTAAGAGCCTTGCGCCTACCACCTATCCGCATCAGGAATTGGCTTCTGGAGACCCCGCTCGCACAGCTGCACGAAGTGGCGGAGGAAGGGCGCCCACCGTCGCCCCGAGGAGAAGGGAGCGGGCCCCGAGGATGCTGGGAGGCCCGAGAGGCGTGGAGGAGTGAGGAGAGGAGCACTCGCGGCCTGGCACCAGCCAGGCCGCAAGGTACTGGGGGGGAGCCAGGATACGGGTCTGCACCTGCCCATAGAGGGAGTAGGTTAGCCAGGTGGGGTGGGAGGCGTAGGCACCTCACAAGTCGCGGCTCACCCCGATCTGAAAGGGAGTTCATGGACACGGGATGTCGCTTCTTCCCCTGCCGGGGCCCGGACTGCCGCTCCTGGAGTAGGGACTGGCCCTCCATTTTGCCCCTGGACTTGCTACACTGGGAAAGTTTAGGCTCAAGGAGTCGTAGGGTGCTCACTGGGCTTTGGGAGGGCACTGGGGGAGGGAATCGGGGACTGCACCCTGGAAGTGGGGGAGGACATGGGCAAGGTCCTGGGGGACTGATGGCTACGAGGTGGGGGGAGGGGAAAGCACAGAGCGGACCTGCATTTCTTTCGGGACACTTAGCAATCTGCCCCCTCATGCTGGGCTGGAGGGGAGGCGGGAAGCCCCGCAGCTCCCCACTGCACCCATGCGAGACGTGAGGGAGACGAGTAAATGTCCTCCACGGGGATGGCCCCTGCACTACCGAGCCCACTCAACACCGGCCCATAGAGCACACACCACGAGTCAGGGGCGAGACGGGGAAGGAAAGCCAAGTGACAGGGGGAGAAGGGCCTTTAGCCCGCACCGGAGCGGTGGCCTGGGATCACGGGGATTGGGGGGGGGCGGGACGCCAAACGAGTAAAGTCTGCCAGAGTCGAGAGGGACATAGGGTCTGCCTGGGTAGTTGGGCAGCCACGGTACGCTGGAAACGGCAGACGCGATATGCGGAGATCAATTGCACTGCCACCCTTAGGGGGTCCACCTGGGGGATGGGACAGGGGCATGACCAGGCACCGAGGTATAGCCTCCGGAAAGAGAAGGACTACTGCGGGACAGCACGGGCTAAGGGGGAGCTGGTAGTGACGACTCTTAGACCCACCTTCACAATCCTGCGCCTGCGGACGCTCACGTACCCACAGACACACTGTATAACACACTAGGGGGGAGCGACAAGGGGGGAACATATTTACTGACTCACCGACCTAGACAGCTGAGTATGACACTGTACATAGTTCTCTCCTTGTTTAACTCTTTCTGTTACTCTATAGTAGGTCTACTGACGACCCCCTACCTACGACCACCTCCTTTTTTTTTTTCCTTCTTCTTCCTCTCTTTTCTCCCGCCCCTGACACCTCGCCGCCCGCCCCTGCGCGGCGGCACCAGCTCCCATGACCTCCCGGGGCCGAGAGGGGTTCGCCCCGGCGCCTCTGGTCCAACAACGTCCGGGGCCTGAACTTGCCGGAACGGAGATCACATTTACTACGGGCACTCTGGTCCAATAGAATCTCGGTGGCCTTCATCCAGGAGACACACTTCCGCGGACAGACGGGACCGGCCCTCCGAGACCGACGGTTCCCCACTGGCTATTTTGCTAATCATAGGGAAGCCAAGAAGGCAGGAGTGGCAATTCTCTTCGCCGCGCATGTCCCCTTCGTGTGTGCGGAGATAAAGGCCGACCCACTGGGACGCTACATCTTCCTCAAGGGCTCCATTGCAGACCGGCGCTACACCTTTGCCTCCATATATGCGCCCAACACCCGACAACACAGTTTCCTCACCAGAACCCTAAAATCGCTGGAACACTTCAGGGAGGGGCTCCTAATTCTAACCGGGGACCTCAACATACCATTGGATCCGCGGACTGACACCTCCCGGGGACGCTGCTCGCTGCCGGACGCAAGCATCAATTGGCACTCAGAACGGCGGGCCTTGCGGATTGCTGGAGAATCATGCACCCAGAGGCCAAGGATTTTACATACTTCTCCCCGGTGCACCGCGGCTACAGCCGCTTAGATTATGTCTTTATTGCACAAGAATACCTGAATCTATTACAAAAATGTGAAATCCTACTTGACGCTTGGTCGGACCACTCGCCGGTACTGGCCCAGCTGACCTCGCCTCTGCATAAACCCACAAGACGCCACTGGAAACTGAATGAACAACTACTTAGCGACCCGGTCACCATAGCGGACGCTACGACGGCGCTCCGTCACTACTTCAATGAGAACGATCCGTCTGACACCTCCCCAATGATTTGGTGGGAGACCCATAAGTGCGTCATTCGGGGACATTTCATCAAGGTATGTACAACGCGGAAGAAAGAACACAGTAGGCAGCTACAAGAGCTATATACGAAAGTCACCAGCTTAGAACAAGACCACAAAGCCGCACCGACGGAAGAGGCGTACCATGCGCTCCGAGAGGCCCGCCGAGACCTACAACATCTGCTCACGAAAAACCTTGCCTACATGATGAAAAAAGCCCATCGCTATTACTATGAACACTCCAACAAATGCGGTCGTATGCTAGCCAGAATGCTGAGACAACAACGCCGCGTGAACCAGATCACTAAGCTGCGGACAAAGAGCGGCGCCCTCACGCAGGTACCGGACAAAATAGTCGAGGAATTCCGGAACTTCTACACCGGCCTATACGATATCCAAAAAGATGAGACAAGCGCGGGCCGGGAAAGGACGGCGAGACTGACGAGGGAGTACCTGGAAAACCACGTACACCGGACTCTCACGCAAGAACAAAGGGAAGACCTTGATGCCCCCATTACGATCGAGGAACTGACGGCAGCCCTGAAGAACACACAACTTAACAAAGCCCCGGGCCCGGACGGCCTCCCCGCCAGATACCTCAAGGCCTTCGGGGATGTCCTCCTACCAGAATTGCTGACGGGCATGAACTCTCTCCTTGAGGGTGCACGCCTACCGGGGGACACTCTACTGGCAACGATCGCGGTTATCCCGAAAGAGGGAAGAGACCCGGCGGCCTGTGCGAGCTACAGACCCATTTCCCTACTAAACGCAGACCTCAAGCTGTTTACGAAGGTCCTGGCGGCGCGCGTGGGCCGCATAGTCCCATCTTTGATCCACCCGGACCAGACCGGATTCATACCCGGTCGAGAAGCCAAAGATAACACCATCAGAGCGCTAAACATCATGCACACGCAATGGAACTCGCCGGTCGGAGGCCTGCTCCTCTCCACTGACGCGGAGAAGGCCTTCGACCGGGTGGACTGGCGATACCTCCTCGAAACGCTCAAGGCAATGGGGTTCGGACCGAATATACTGCAGTGGATCTCCGCGCTATACACGGAACCGACTGCACAACTACGCATTAATGGGGTCCTGTCCACACCGATTCGGATACGTAACGGGACGCGCCAGGGATGTCCGCTTTCCCCCCTCCTGTTTGCCCTCTCTCTGGAGCCATTTCTTGAGGCGGTCAGACGGGACGGGGGCATTGCGGGTGTCACCCTGGGGGACGGAACGCACAAGGTGGCGGCCTACGCGGACGACCTCCTTTTCTTCGTGAGCAACCCTTTGATCACCTTGCCCAACCTGCTGGCGGCCTTTGAGCGGTTCGGACGGATCTCTAACTTCAAATTGAACGCGGACAAGTCGGAGGCCCTCCCCATATCTATACCCCCCGAGTTGGTCGAACGGCTGACAGGAGAATTCCCCTTTAAATGGTGCCACCAGCGCATAAAATATCTTGGGATCTGGTTAACTAGAGACCTGACGAAACTCTATCAAGAAAACTTTCTCCCTATTCTCCAAACGCTCCGTGCGGACTTGCTCAGATGGGGACGCCTATGCGTGTCGTGGTTTGGGAGGATCAACACAATAAAGATGAATCTGTTGCCATGCTTGCTGTATCTTTTCCAGGCCATTCCGATCGCGATCCCGCGAACATACTTCAACACCTTGGGCTCGGCGATACTGCGATTCGTCTGGGCGAAGGGACCGCCGAGGGTAAGAAAGACACAACTGATACTCCCGAGACATCGTGGTGGAACAGCCCTACCGTCCCTACTCGGTTACTACCAGGCGACACACCTCTTACGAATTATAGAATGGCATGTCCCGGACTCGGACAAACAATGGGTCCATATGGAGCGGCTTCAGGCCAGGGGGCGTATTCCATCGATGGTATGGATACAAAACCCGACATGCGATGGTTTCCTGCGGAACCACCCATTCATAGGCGCGACACTGAGAACATGGACAACCATCTGATTCAAGCTGCAGCTCACCACGAACCCGGCCCCCCTGACACCTGTGATACACAACCCAGACCTGGCGGGAGGCCTGACACAGGGGGATATTGAGGGACTGGGGGAGGGGACGAAACAATACCTTCGGACATGGTGTGCTAATAAAGCCCTAAGGCCGCTGGAAGACATGCTGGGCCAGAACAGGGAGACAGGGATCTTACGATTTAGGTACCACCAGATACGCCGGTACTAGGCCACACTTCAGGGGAAACACCTGATCCACCGAGACCTCACACACTTTGAAACGCTATGTGAAGGGGGAACGTACCCGACACGCGGGATATCGACCCTATATGCCATGCTCCTGGGTGCCGATGCGGGACCCCCGGCACACTTTCACTCAAAGTGGGAACAAGCAACAGGCGTCACCTTAACGGAACCACAATGGGAGCAAATACACGTTCTGTCCCACCAGGGGATACTTAGTTCTAAAATGCAGGAACTTAATTATAAACTCCTGACGCACTGGTACCGGACTCCCGCACGACTCCATGCCATGGGGGTCACCCCCGACAACAAGTGTTGGAGATGTGCCATCCCTGAAGGGACGGCATTACACCTGTGATGGTCTTGCCCTCGGATAGCCCCCTTCTCGCAAAAGATCCATGACAAAGTGGTGGACATCTTGGGGGGAGACATCCCCATGGAGCCCCTCCCTATGCTTTTAAACCACACTCAGATACCCCTGGGGCGTAACAAGAAAACCCTTATCAGACACTTTCTCAACGCAGCCAAAAGCCTCATCCCCGCCAGATGGAAATCGCCAGTTGTCCCAACCATTACTCAGTGGATAGAAAAGGTCGATGAACTTTATAACATGGAAATTCTTACAGCAGAACTCAGGGGCACGCAAGACCGCTGCACTCGCCTGTGGACACCGTGGATCTCCTACAGCTCGGACCGGAGGTGGGGGTGGCCGAGGGCGGACCGTCTGAGGCCAGATGAGGAGGCGGAGTAGCGCGGGAGGAGGCTGGATCGCGGCCACGCGGGACCCCCCACCTTCCCCCACCCCTCCCTTTCCCCTGTGGTGTTTTTTTTTTTTCTCTCTTCTTCTTCTTCTTCTTCTCTCACTCTCTCTCACTCTCTCTCTCTCTCTCCACATGCCTCAACGACGAAGCGAAGGTGACCGACAGGGGAGGAAAGGGGACCTTGACCGGAGTAAACACATGATAGCCACAGATAGCAGGCAGGCCGGAGACAGCCCGGCCAAGGTTAAATCAACAACTCATCGGAGGGGGGAGGAGGGGGGGGCCGGACCCCGGGCATTACACCCGAACGACTCAGAATACCACCGAGGGGGGGCTCACGGGGACCGCATCTGGACCCAGGGGGACCACCACCCCCTGTTCGAGCCAGAGGAGCTTCACTCCCACG